TACAAATTTCATTAACAATAAACAAGGACAGTTTATTGACTAGCTAGATTTTTGTATTGATCAATTGATACCTTTTTTCAAAGCCTTAATATTGCTTTATTTATAATAAATAATTTATGACTAAGTTATTACAATGTGGGATATGTTATACATGTCGAATAAATATGATATAGTGGATAATGTTGATATGTCTGAGAACTCTGTTATCTCTGCTATCTCTACAATCTATGTTGAGTTACATGATCAGAATTAAGAAATTAAGGAATTAAGGATAATTTCAGACCGTAACAACGTGGTCATTTTCTTAAAGTTAAATTACAATATTGTTTTATTGCTTGCATCCGCACTTCAATGGTGGGTCAAAAATTTGACCTCTTGATGATTTGTTCTATATCAAACAGTGCATTTTTGTATTTCTTATCCACAAGTTCATCTTCCTCTTCTTTATGATTCTTGACTTTATTTGCTCGATTTGGCATATCAGTCTCTATTAAGAAAAGAACTGACGTAAGAATATCCGCAGTGTTGAGAATTTAATACAAAATAATTAAATGATGTTCAAGCATGAGGCATCCGCATTGCTGCAACACAATACCAATATCATAATGAAAACAAATATTTGAAGTAAAAATAAAAGATAGGACAATACATATTGCACAGATCAAAAATATATAGTCAACAGCTTGCTGCCTTGTGCAGCTTTCTGATTTTTAGCCTTTTTATGATAAATTGTTGCTCTTGAATTATCAATATAGATAATTGGATGTTCTCCTTTGATTTTAAACTCTACTACTGTGAAAAGTTTCTGTATAGTGAATGCTGTAGCTATCTCATCTTGTTTCTCCTTATTTATTTTGCATTTTTCCATATTTTTAATCTGCTGATCTTGATTTTCAACTTGGTGCACACCTTTACAGAATTTTTTAGCTTTTGTCTCTTGAAGACTTTTAGGTGTTGTTTTCATTTGGTTAATCATGATATTGTACTTTGAAGGAATTCAATGTGTATGAGATGAATTGCAAGAAAAACCAAAAACAAGTGAAATTGAGAATTAGAGAAGAGATAGCTGGGTTGAAAATGGAAATTGTTAAATTAAGAGAGAAGATTGAAGAATTAAGAAGTTAGAAGAACATAACTGACATAATGAAAGCCTCTATACATACATACACATACAGACTAAAAAAATGAAGTATATATAGAACCTATTCTAACAATAGATGTTCTACATGTATATGAGTCATATACAAGTCACAAATTTTATTACGTGAAAATTTTTTATTGATTGCCATGAGTGGCTTGACTCAGCCACGTGGCTTAAGACCAGTCTCAAATTGATAGTGATATATGAAAAGTGACAAACTTTGAATGACTATTACTATATGAAAAATTAAAAGAACTGAAATTGGCTTTCATAAACTGAAAGTTAATAACCTATTCTATTAGTTTATGAAGAGTTATTTTAGATACATGCCTTTTGTAAAAGTATAAAAAGGTTTAAAGTTGATTAAAATTCTATTGATGCACTGTATCACAGAATAAAATCGATGCAATCGTACGACCTGTTACTGACCAAATTTCCGAAATAAAATCACATGCCTGAAAAATCGATTGCGTAACACCGGATGTTCGATCACAGAATAAATTAGAACCTTTTATGTATGATATAATCGTGTGACCTACAAATCTTTCACATAGCTTTTTTCGTCGTATTGTGTTACTAATGTCTTCAAAGAAACGAAAAAACGTTGAAACCGAAAGTACGAGCTTTTCTGCCACCCGTCAGCAATCCAAACGCCTTGCCAGAGGAGACTCAGCTATCGCGAAGACTACCAGTAATCTTAGGCTCAGTTCTGGTTCCAGCTCTAGTTCCCGTTCGAGCTATGGCTTAAAGGATCTTCCTTCTTCGGCATCTAAATTCACAGAGGAAGATATGGAGGCACTAAACGCAACCTTCAAATCGGCTTCCAACGAGAACGAAGTCATACCTGATGTTGAAGGTAAGATTACATTGTGTTAACAATTTTAGCGAACCTATTGCTTATAATTTAAATAATGTCTAGTCACGAACTTTCCGGATGCATACGTTCTCAACAACATCAATCGTGCTATTCTCGAAAGGCATAACTTCCGTGTTGGCAATCTTAGCGGAATTTCGGATGGATACGTCAAAACGTTCATTAACAACCTACACAGAGTTGTCGTGAATGCAGGTCTCGATATAGGCACGGATGAATCTAAGACTGACACATTAGTAAACCATCTGTTAACTCGCATTGTTGAATTTGATCATTGGCCATTGGGCGTTAGGTGAATAATAAAAAAATGTCCTTGTTTGTTATGACTAATGATTTCTTAAGTTCACATCGTAGAGTCAAAGAATGGTACAAGCTATCCGTTAGTGATAAGAAAGTGTCGGCAAAACCCGAATTTGTCGTGGATAAGGAAGAAGTTGCTATGATAGTCGTAGAGGTCTGTATGTTTTTGATTGTTTGACAAGTCCACATTTTTGATGACTCAAAACCTTTTTCTTAATAGGATAAACATTTGAAAAACGTTTATCCACCTGATTTTGGGGAAGCGCAAATTCTTGCCGAGATACTCGCCTGCGGAAATGAAAATGTGCGTCTCTCTCGTGCAATTACGGATCAGACTATGTTCGTTGTTCGTGTCATCTCCACGTATGTTACATTTTACAAGGCTGAGATTCCTGTAGCATATTGGAAAGCACTTAAGAGGGGCCTACCAAAACAGCAGTCAATTACGATTTTAAGGTGGCCGGGGGGGAATGATCCAAATACTGGTCTAGATTTGGCAGAACCTGCCGGAAGACGATCAGTGCTGAGAGCATTAGTTAAAATTCGTGAATCACTTTTACAGGATGAGGATGAGGATGAGGAAGGGAGAGACAAACAGCTATCGTAATAATGTGATGAGTTATTTAGTCGTGCTGGGGAGCAGTTTATAGCGTGTCCAATTTAATATAATAAAGAATTGCTAGATTTCAACGTCGAATTGCATTTTAACCAATAATTGTTTGATGATTATTATGTGTCTTTGACACTAGCTCCGCTATTGTATTTTCGATTCTGTTTTGACAGATTTTATTGTACAGTCGATAATTTGATAATATTTTCTTATGTGTCAAAGACACTAGCTCCGCTACCTACACATCCTGCGATTTCGATCCGTTTTATACGTACTGCATAATAACGACTTTCCACATTATTGGTTCTTTAATTTTCGTTCTAATTCAAGGTAATGGAGCTAGTTTCATTATTATATGTCGAAATCGTAGTTAAAGCAATTTACGGATTTACATTGTATCAACGATCCGTGGTATTGGTTCTTTACATTCCGTGCTAATCAAAAAATACGTAAAAAGTCACATGCCTAAAAAATTGATTGCGTAATACACATGCCAGTAATCAATAATTTTTCCAGAATAACTTTCTTAGCGAAAGTGATCTGCATTCAAAATTGGAACGGAAATTCTAATTAAAAATTAAATAAATCTGCTTTATATAAAAAAATTACTAAAATGCAATCTGAGTTTGATTTATTGAAACAACGGGTTATTGATCTTGAGGCTGAAAATATGAAGCTAAAACAAATTATTGAAGAAAATGCTAAACGTGAAGCCGAGAACATTAACCTTAAGATGAAACTAGAAAAAAATAAACTATCTCTCAGCTGAAAATTCTGAGCTTAAAATCAAAGTAGCAAAATTAAGCTGTGATTTCGAGAAAATAAAATCAAAGAGAATAATCACTAATTCTCCGGAGCAATTGTCAATTTCTAAGAAAAAGATAGTAAGTGTTTCTATCGAAATGGAAAATTCTAGTGCTATCCCTGAACAAATAAACTTACAAACTGAGGATGTTTTGGCATCAGATATATCTGATAACACTTCAAATTTTGATGATATTCTCATGAAAGAAATTTCATCACTTAATGAGAGTCAATCTGATAAGGAGAAAGTTATTACTCCTGATCCTATAACCAGAATAGAACATAGCTCAACCCAAGTTCAAAAAACTAAATCATCTACAATCTCTTTGTCACAAAATATTGTTAATGATGATATGGATGAGATCCTTGATTTTGTAGAAATAAAACATAAAGAACATGTTAGTAAAGTGATAATGGAGAGAATTAGGAAAAAGAAACTTTGAGATCAAAATTCATCTTTGGATAGTACTTCATCGGAACCATCCTACAAAAATCAAAATCTGGAATCATCTATAATATCACAATCTAACTCTAATAGTTTTGAGTTATTTTTGGATAATAATTTATCATGTAATTTTGAGTCTAAATCATCTACTAATGTATCATTTAATCAGAGGCATGAAATGCTTTGTTTTGCAAAAATTTCTTATAATCAAAAAGTAGAATGAGGTTTAAGACTCGAGTTATCTATTTGTACCAAAGATAACAATCATAAGATTAGTAAAGTATCTGATATTCAAATTCCTGAATTCTCTTTAGAAGCAATTTTATCAGGATTTAATAACATTACATTGTTACCGTTTTGATGAGGCTTTCGAAATACTCAAAGGTATTTATAAAATTTAAGGAATATTCAAAGGGAAACTT